AAGCAAGTGGTTTTTTAACTCACAGAATTACTCAACTGGCTAGTATTGCCAAGATTGAGACACACCCGTGCAATAGATTGGCCTGAAAGTCCTTTGGACTGCATATTAAATCCCAAGATACTATATTCTGAGTAGGTACCAGTCCAAGAAGGAGCAAATCCTGATGTTGAGATCACTGGGGACTTGTAAAGCAAGTTCACCATAATGCTAACAAAATGGATTGGGATTTGCAGGGTGGTATTTGATTGGCCTTCTCCAAATTGCAACTTGATCAGGAGGTCAACCTTTATTACTTGCTGTTGGGCCTGATCTTCATGGCCTTTGCCCTTGAAAAGGAAGTAAACATCACACCTTCTTGAGCCAAAGTGCAGGCATCCTTAAACCCTTCTGTTAGGATAAACAAAACAAAACAAAGCTGAACTGGCTAGCAGAGTTAATTTATCTCAGATCTATCAATAGGAAAGAGAAGCTGTGGTGTTAATTATGTACTTGGAAATCCCTTTGTGGCTATGGTGATTGGGGGTATAGCAAGCTTTCAAGGGCTGCTATAACAATGCCCCATTCCTTGCCTAGGAAATCTAACAGCTCCAAGACAATAAACTGAAGAAGTCACTCTCTTGCATGTGTTATATAAATTGCAGTATTGGGGTGAATAGGGATAGATAAGCTTATAAGATCACCGGAGAAGAGCCTAATGCTGGGAAAGATTGAGGGCAACAGAAGAATGGGACGACAGAGAATGAGGTGGCTGGATGGAGTCACTGAAGCAGTTGACATGAACTTAAATGGACTCCAGAGGATGGTAAAGGATAGGAAGGCCTGGAGGAACATTGTCCATGGGGTTGTGATGAGTCAGACACGACTTTGCAACTAATAACAACAACAAAGTTTATACAGAGTAGGTCGGAAGTCTTTTGGAGCTCCTGGGAGACGTAAACACCATATTTAGCAGCCCATTTCTGGGACTCTCATAAAATTCACCAAAGACAGTTATTTTTCAAGGCCTGATCTGCTGTTTGTAGCTCAGTTTGATACTAAGGAGTGAAATAGCCCCTTCATTTATTGGTCCTGAATGCGCTAAGACAAATATGTACATATTGCATTCAGTTTTTTAGATGAGGAGTCACTAACAGCCCAGTTAAATAAAATACAGACCATGTATATCTCTAAAAAGGTACTGTCTATTTCCTTTAACATACTTAATAATATCAAGGGGACTGACACCAAATTTATTAGAGTTGAGGTGCCTTGTAAAAACTAGCTCTGCAAATTTCCATTCCATCTGTCTTGTGGGAAAATGGATTCAGTCGGGGTTAGATTTAAATTACTTAGTTCAGCCAACACCTCACTCCTTTCTTATTTTTAAGGACAGGGGAAAAATTAATCACTAAGCAGAACTAGTGTGACAAGAGGTGATAACCACAGAAAGAAATGTCTACAGAATTTGGAGATTAGGATAAATATTTTTCAACCAAGCTGAGTGATATTAGGGGCATTGAGTAAACTGATAGATAACCAGATATGTCTATATTAATTAATAGAGGGGGGGGAGAAGAAGCAGAAAAATATGTTTATGCTAAGAGAAGCTGCCCAAAAAATCCTCTTCAAGTCCATTGTAACTTGAGAAATATAGGTAAAAATTGTGGAAGATCTTAAAAGCACTGGTACTGTTTTGTTCCACAAACCCTCAGAAATACCCTGTTTCCCTGAAAAGAAAACCTCCCTGGATAATAAGCTCAATCGGGCTTTTGAGTGCATGTGCTAAAATAAGCTTTCCCCCTGAAAATAAGCCCTCCCTGAAAATATTGCAACATAGCAGCAGCCATGAGGTGACCACGCTCACCACTTCCTGCACCTCAAAAGTAATAAGACCTCCCTGAAAATAAGACCAAGCACTTATTTTGGGGGTCAAAAGAAAATAAGACCATGTCTTATTTACAGGGAAACACGGTAGTTTAAATACCGATCTGATCTAAACACTGAAGACTGACTGATCTGTCTTCATTGACTTTAAAGGCTGGGAAAAATACTGTGCCAGCTTGACCTTCTATAAATTATGCAACAGCAAAAATCCCATCTACACAAAAGGGATAGAAGGAAAAGAATAACATCAGAAGCCTGACACTTTGCACACAATAGCTGATCTTGGAGAGGAGGCAACTGACAAGAATAACAATACCACAAACTTGTCAGTCCCACCACCACCACCATCCCAGTTTTTTTGTCTGAGCAAAATGCAAAACCCTCAAACTCCTGTAGAATCTGACATTTGGTAAATGGTAGAGTTTGTTCCAATGAGACAATGGAGCCTTGGAGTTTCGAAACAAAAAGTCCTCACTTCATGGTAATTTTAACTACACTGTAATTGATGTTTGAACAGAGAGATCAAGAACTATTTTCAAAGAGTTGGATGGCAACGCCTGAAGCAGTTCCCATAAATATGGGGAAGCTTCAGACTCAGGCAGGGTTCTTTCAGGGGTGAAATTCAGCAGGTTCTGACAGGTTCTGGAGAACCAGTAGCAGAAATTTTGAGTAGCTCAGAGAACTGGCAAATACCACCTCTGGCTGGCCCCAGAGTGGAGTGGGAATGGAGATTGTGCAATATCCTTCCCCCAGGAGTGGGGAGGGAATGAGGATTTTGCAGTATCCTTTCCCCGGAGTGCAGTGGGAATGGAGATTTTACAATATCTTTCTCCCAGGAGTGGGAAGGGAATGGGGATTTTGCAGTATCCTCCCCCCGCCACACCCACCGAGCCACTCACACAGAATCGGTAGTAAAAAAAATTGAATTTCACCACTAGGTTCTTTCCCATCGTCTTCAAACAGTTTTTGTCAACTACATCACAATACAGGTAGTCCTCGACTTATGACCACAGCTGAGCCCAAGATTTTGGTTGCTAGGCAAAACATTTGTTAGGTGAATTTTGCCCCCTTTTATGACCTTTCCTGTCACAGTTGTTAAGTGAATCACTGTAGTTGTTAAGTTAGTCACATGCTTGTTAAGTGAATCTGGCTTCCCCATTGACTTTGCTTGTTAGAAGGTTGCAAAAGATGATTGCGTAACTCCAGGACACTGCAACCATCATAAATATGAGTGGGTTGCAAATCATCTGAATTTTGATGCCGGGCCCATGGAGATGCTGCAATGGTTGTAAGTGCGGGAAATGGTCATAAAGTCAGTGCTGTTGTAACCTCAGTCACTAAATTAATGGTTGTATGTTGAGGAATACCTGTACCTTGATGAACCTTGTATGGGAGACAAAAAGACACAGAAGGACATAGCTTTTGGGAGTGGTAGTTTGTAAACATTTCCTTTTCTCTTAAAGCCTTCCTCCATCTTCCTGACTCTTCATGAGCAAAACATCTGGTAGCCAAGAAGGGAGCCCTTCCCTGTGAACCCAACCTCAAGGATGCCCTGGAACGTCAAGTGGTTGAATAGCTGCAACAGCTACAGCTCCCAGTCTCAGAAACAATGCAAGAAATCCTCTTTTGCTTTCTATCAAGCTGTGAGAGACCAGCTACCAGTATGGCTCCTGGAAGACATGAGGCGCATGGAGGTTTTCCACTGGCAAGAAGGAGGCAAAGTCAGCACATATTCACCTTCAGAGGCACTGCTGTATGCCCTGGTACACAACCACCAGCCTTATGCCCGATATTTACTGAACCAATTTCCTAAAAGTGCCTTTGCAGTACCGAGCCTTCACTTCAGCTGCTGCCACTCTTCAGCTCCTCACTTAGCTATGGCTGTCCGGTACAATCGTATCCATGTCCTAGTAGAGATTCTGAAGGCCATCAAAAACTTACCAGTAAGCGACCGAGCTACCTATTTGGACCGCCGAGGTTGCAGTCGAGTGGAAGGTGGCAAAACAGCCCTTCATGTGGCATGTGAACTGGCCAGGCCGGAGTGTTTGCTTTTGCTGCTGGGTCACGGAGCCTCGCCTTGCCTTGGTGACTGTGCTGGGAACACACCTCTAGACCTACTTCTACAACAAATTTGGGAAAGTCCAGCATCAAATCTCCGCACCAAGCTTCTCCTTCTGGACACGCTCTTGCTCTTTATGCCTACAGGCTTCCCTTTTGCCATGAAACAGCAACTGCGGGAAGACCAGCAGCCCTGGCAGGACCTTCTGGGTGTTAGTCGGTATCAGTGGATGGCTGGTTTTGCTCCTTTCTCTCTCTTTGTTAGATCCATGCAAGTTTTAATTGGGAGCATTTCACGCGAACATTTCCCAGAAGCTCTGGATGGTCTACCTTTGCCGCACTTTCTGAAACCTTTGGACCTGATGTTGAAGGGCTAAGATTATTATAAGCTAGAGACCTCCTTCTCTCACTTGGACTGACTGACTCTCTCCCCCCCTCTCCCTCCTTTCAATTGCTGCTTGTGTGATGAAAATAGGTTGTGTGGAGAACCCATGTACTGAAAAACGAACTCTGTGTGGGAGAAGGAGAAGCACTTGTTTTAATTAGAGACCTTTTTCCAAAGATTTTAATATGTTGTGTTTTATTTAACTATCGCTCAGTCGGAGAGAGTGGAACACCTAGAGTGCATTCTAAAAATAAATTCCATTTTATGGCAGGATGCACAGCTTAAAGCTTAACTTGGGCATGATGATTTGTAGACAGTCCAAGTGAATTAGCATTTTAGGCCAGAAGCTAAAAAAAGCAATGAAACAGAGAGTAGCTTCTGTAATCCATAATAGATCAACGGTAAATAATGCACCAAGTGGATATTGATTGGTGCAAAAGAAACACCTGCATGTACTCCCAAACAGCAAAAGGTTTGGAGTATGTCCAGTTTTTCAACCTTTTCTTTGTCAACTTCAAATTATGTGCCACAGGATTGTATGTAATTTAAACAAACACAACACAACCAGAGATTGAAATGTTGGTTTAAGCTATTACCTCTGATAGAGTTATGTCCAGCTAATGTGAAAAGGAACAAAAATACCATTTTGTATAAAATAGCTATTAGATATTAGAAAAATTTGAACTATTGGCCAGATCTCCTTACTCTCTTGCTCTCTCATTATTTTCTCATGACAATATATTGCAAGAGTCAATTTCTTAAAAGAATTATTGTTATTTTCTCTGCCACCAATAGCTCGCTTTTATTTAAAAGTACACACATCCAAGAGGAGGTCAAATCAGCAGAGCATTAAACAAATCATTAAATACATAGCAATCTCCACTGTATTAATAAGAACAATCATAGTGGAACAATAAAAGCAGTAACTATTTCAGCAAGTAGTGAAAACTGAAAAAACATTCAAAGTCAAAGAAATATTTTTGCAGCCATTCAAAAATTATTTGAGATCAGAAGGAATATTGATGAGGATCAAGAGCCAAGATGTAAAAATGCAAAGCTTCACATACCCTTATTGCCATTGTTCTCTTCAGAATCATTTCTCATCTGTCTTGCTGTCTGTCTGTCTGTCTGTCTGTCTATTACATTTCTATAGCCACACAGTTCACATAGTAACTCTTCATTTCATGAACCTTTTTAAGAACATGAGGCTATAAACATTAGCCCACTGAATACGGTAGACATCTACTGGTTATTCTTACAGATTGGTTCCATATCTCCTCACAAAATGGTTCAGAAAGACAAAAAGTGTTTTGGATGAGAATAAGATGCAAAAGAGGGCCAAATTGTGCACTCGCCATCACCCAGATTAATCTAACAAATCAATGCAGGTCCAGAAGGATTACACCGAGTCCCTCCCCCTTTGTACACAATTGTTGGCTAAAATGCAAAAAAAAAAAAAAAAAGATTTACTTCAGTCCTTTACTTTAGTGGCACAGAACCTGGTGGCTCTGTGATGAGACATGGGATGCAAAGACACAAGCCTAAGTTCCTACCCATTTATTAGACCATTTTAGCCTACTCTCACTGGAAGGGATAAAATGAGAGAAGATCCTGATACACATAACTCTGAGTTCCCGGAGAAAAACTAGGGAATTAGTGCAAAGAATCAATACTGAGAATAGGAGACATGCAATTCTGACCTCTAAGGGAAAGATACAGAATGGAATATGGGTGGTGGAGTTGGAGGAGAACCCCTGCTCTGGTTCAGAATCTGTTGTCCTGCTTAGGTTAGATATCTAGAGTTGGAAGGATACATTTAGGCCAGTGGTTCCCAAACTTGGCAACTTTAAGACTTGTGGACTTCAACTCCCAGAATTCTCCAGCCAGCAGAGCAGAGCTGGCTGGAGAATTCTGGGAGTTGAAGTCCACAAGTCTTAAAGTTCCAAGTTTGGGAACCACTGATTTAGGCCANAAGGGCAGCCCCTTTAGCGGCGCCCTTGTTGTGGCAGGAGAGCTCGCGCTAGGAATGTTTCCCTCAGAGAGATAAGCGCGTTAAGGCAGCCCATTGGTGCAAACCCTGAGGATGGGGAGGAAAAGGGGGCCCAAGGGGAGGAAGAGGACTCGGGGGTGGGGGAGGCGTCTGATCCCCTGCGGGAGGCCCCACCACCTGCCTTGCCTCCCTTTTCGCCCTCCTCCCCTTTTAGGGTCAACAGCACCAGCGCCTACGACTTACAAGCCGCCCGGAAACTTTCTTGGAACTTTGCCTCCCGCTGACGCCAACAATCGCTGCGGGGCCCCATCCTCTCCTCTCAGCCAATGGGAAGCTGGGGGGGGAGGACCCGCCGGGACCAATCCTGAGGCTCTGGACAGTTCCCCGGTCCTCGCCGACCTTCACCGCGCGGGCTCGGGGAAGGGGATAAAAGAGCCCGGAGGAGCCAATTGAAGTTTGGCCGCTGCCGCTGCCGCCGCTACTACTCCTGCTGAGCCAGACGACTCTGCGGCGGCTGCTGCTGTTCCCGCCAGCTGCGGTTCGCGCTCGGTGCAAGTCGGGAGCCCAGCACAGCCGCTCTTCTTCCGCAGGGGGAGGAGAGCGCAGGCAGCGGAGGAGCGCACGAGCGGGGGGGGGGGAGGGAAGAGCCGCGGCGGCCGGACTCCCTCGGGTGCGCGCGCGCGCGCGCGGCTGCAGCCGGGGAGAAGGAGCGAGCGAGCGGTTCATTCATTGCTGCGGGCAGCCCCGAGGAAGAGCCGGCGCGACCCGCAGGCGAATCCCGCCAGGCTACATTCTTGGCAGGACGAAAGATCCAGAAGGGGTTGGTTTGTTTTGTTTTTTTAATCCCGCTTTCCCTTCGATCCGGCCCAACCCCCGAATGCCAGATCTAAACCCCCGGGCGTTTTCGGAAGACCGGCGGGGCTGGTTGGGAGTTTTGGGGTGGAGACGCGCGAGGTAAGAGGAGGTCGGGGGCATCTGGCGAGAGGAAGAGAAGATGGAGAGCGGGGGAGAGAAGGAGAAGGAGGGAGGGAAGGCGGGCGAGGTAGGGGTCGTGGCCGCAATGGCATCTGCCGCTTGGAAAGACTGAGGGTGAGAAGCAGAGAATTGGGGGCACAGCCGTGTCTTTTGAGAGATGAGTAGCGCCCGTTCTCCCTTCAAGTCTTGAAAGATGAACCGTCAACACCGCCCAAAATGCATGTTTGTTTTTTTAAATGCTGTTAGAAAGGGAGGAGGGATCTTTGGAAGGGAAGCATTTTGGGGGTGCCGGGTACTCCCCAAGTGAGAGGTGGGAGGGAAGGAGGGAGGCAGGGAGAGAGAGGGAGAGACAGAGAGGGAGCAGCCTGCAGAAAAGAGGTTGTGGGTACAAAACTTGCAGTATAACCAGATTGAGAGAGTCCCTGTCCTTCCCTGAGCCTCCCAACCTTGTTCCTCCCCTCTCCATGTCTTGTTACAAGTCGCTGCTTGGCAAGAGAAGAGAAGAAAGATGAATGCCAGTAAGGGGAAAGCAGGTCAAGTGGTAGCTGCCTTTGGAGCCCTCAAGGGTGCAAGGTTTGGAGAACATTCCCTTGTTGGTCTGTGTACCAGCAAGGTCCCCTTGGGTGCAGTTGGGTGAAGATCCTGCTAGCTCAAAAGGGAAGGAAGGGGAAGGGGAAATCCAAAGGCAAGATAGTGTCAACCAAGGGTCTCCAACCTTGGCAACTTTAAGACTTGTGGACTTCAACTCCCAGAATTCCTCAGCCAG